TGGTTCATAAAAGGATGTCATTAAGCTCTGCTAATACAGATAAGCTTTCTTTGAACACATGCTTTAGTCATAGTTACCAAATCTTAGTTGAGGCAACCACGATTTGGTTTGAGAGCGGAACATACCCATGCTTGTGAGCAGGGATTCCGTTTGGATCTAAATAGATCCAGTTGGATAAATTATTAGACGAATTTTTGCGGGATACTTATTTTTTCCGATCAGTATAAATGTGGATACTTTTTTAAATTAGCCAAAATTTTATATCTTCTATAAAGTTTTTTTTCGTTCAAAAATCGATTTTCATTAATGACGTTTTCTAAATATTTTAAAAACCGCTACTTAAGCGTGAAATTAGAGCATTTTATTTTTTGTGAACGAAGCAACGAACATATGAAGAGATCTCACCAAAGCAGTGTAAGGCGCAATTGTTTAGATAGCTAAAAAAGATGCTTTAAGCAAGATCTTGATATATATATAAAGTAAATATATCTCTTTCATATCACATATTTTCATTTGTTAATTTAAAAAGAAAGAAGATCTCAATGTAGTTTAAAATACACTGTTTAAAAAACTAAGCTTGATTTATTTAAGGAAATTTTTATGAATTTTACTGAAAAGACTTTAAATACACTCTAAATTTTTTTTGTTTATTTGCGCATATTAAGAGAGATTACCATTTTCATCTTTTAATGTGTGAAAATTTGCACACCGTGTAATAAAATTACACACTGCCTGTTTACTTTAACATACCAAATTTTTCCCAGAGAGTANATCTTTTAATGTGTGAAAATTTGCACACTGTGTAATAAAATTACACACTGCCTGTTTACTTTAACATACCAAATTTTTCCCAGAGAGTAAAATAACACATAAAATGTTTAAAATATAGTAATGTTTATTATTTGTAGGAAATGTATTTTTAGTTTAAAAATTTTTGCAACTTTAAACATTTCATGTGTATATGTATGTTGTCAAAGTGGATAAATTCCACTTCGTTGTTGTAGGGGTAGCGTACCTTTTTGCTGCAGGTGAGGAGCCCTAGCGCTCCGCTGCCAACTGCTTGCCGTTAAACGCCTTCGCCCCGCTAGTGGGGTGCACCGCAGTGTTGCTACACGCAAAAGGTTGTTGGTGCTTGGTACGCACAAATATGCGCTGCTGCTTCTAACTGCTGGCGACTCGACTTACAAGTCGGTTGGGCGCTAGTTGTCGGCTCAAATAAAATTAAAACAAATTTTGTCTTCACGGTTTGAAAGTACGCGGCCGAATGCGCCAATTTATTTTTCACATTTTTTTCTTAGCCTAGCAGCTGTCATACATATGACAGGGTCGCATTTTAATATCGTAAATTCTTAGTTCTTAATTGTACTAGATTAGCCTAGGGCGTATTCATATAAGGTAGTTTGTAGTAATTCAGTAGGGTTGCAAATTGTATGCTTTTATCGCATTACATCACCCTCCTTTGGAAAAAGAAGAATTTGGAAAGTGATCAGTTTTGCCATATTCTTCTTGCCCAAAACTTATAATCAGACTTAAATTGTTTTGAAGGAACGAATTCGGAAATGCTTGAGGAATATTCCTCCTTCTTTCATTCGTTCGTTCAAATCAATTTTAAGTTTTGGTAAATATTAAGTATTTAAATAAATGTTTTTGTATTTACTTAATTATTAGTACTTATTTTATTTATTAATAGTAATTTAATTGGCAAAGTATCGTATTTGTAAAATAAAATAAACTAATTATTTTTGTAAATAACTTATGAGACTATTTGATTGAATTTTACATAAATACATATTAATTGGTTATGAAAAATGGAATAAAAAAATTTTTTGGTTTAATATTTGTATTTAGATTTTCTGAATTTTTAGTTTTAACAATGTATGAAAAATGTTTTTGGTTTAATAAATTCATTTCATATTTTGGAAAAATTCTTATATTACAATTTTGTGGAAAAGTATATATATAAATTTTTTTTTGAGGTAGTTTTCATAATGAAAATGTATACATTTCAAATTATTATTTTTGTTTTTGTACAATTTTCATTTTAGTTGATAATAAAAAGAAAAATTAAAGGTAATTATACATACGTATATACATATATAAGAAAATTTGTTTTATTTTATTTTATGAATTCTATTTTTGTGTACTGTTTATTCTTTGTTTTTCGCTTCGTCAAAAATTGTGACGTTTACACCGTCAATTTTTGTTATAACGTATGGCCCTTGGTATATGTTTTCATGCTTATTGCGTGGTTCTTTTTGAACAAGAACCCTGTCGTTAACGCTAATTGATAACGGACGCGCCGTTTTATCATATATTAGTTTGTTTCGAATTTTGTGTTTATTAATTAATTCTTTAATGATTTTGTGTGACTTTTGCATTCGGTATTTAACTTCTTTCGCGTAATTTTCTACATTATAAATCGGGTCAATTTTATCTTTTTTTAAATCTTGTGGCACTATGGCCTTTTTCCCAAATATTAATTCAAAAGGGGAAAATTTATTATCGAAAACTGTGTTAGTGGTTGTGTTGTGTAAAAATGTAAAATATTTTAAATAAACATCCCANTGTTGCGATTGCCGGCTTCATTATCGAGCCTCAAAAGTAACTCGTCTTAACAAGTTGTTTCGTTAACATTCGCAAAATTAAGTAATTCTTCTTTCTTGTGTTTTAAATGTGCACGTATTTGAATATTTGAAATTTTGTTATCTTTATGGTAGCGAAAATGCGTTACTATTCGCGGTATATTTTTAGAAAAATTGTATGAAAATTTATCGTAGACTTGTACTGTAGAGGTGTCCGTGTCGTTGTTTTCGTTCTGTAATTCTATCGTTTTTGTCATTGATCGAGTTTTCATTGCTAAAACATGTTTTGTCGAGTCTTTTAGTTCGTTTATGGTAATACGTGAAAGTGCGTCTGCTCCAACGTTTGATTTGCCCTTTATGTACCCAATTGTGAAGTCGTATTCTGACAGTTCTAGGCGTATTATAGCAAGTTTCGAAGACGGGTCCTTCATGTTGAAAAGATAAACTAAAGGTCGATGGTCAGACTTCACCTTAAAGTGAGTGCCGTAAACATAGGGTCGAAACTGCTTAATCGCGAAATATATAGCTAAAAGTTCAAGTTCTATGATTGGTTTATTTTGTTCTGCTTTTTTAAAAGATTCAGAAGCGAAACATACTGGTAAGTCGTTGCTATTATGGTTTTGGCTTAATATAGCACCGCACCCGTTTTTCGAAGCATCTACTGTTATTAAAAATTCATTACTGAAATCAGGATATTGCAAAAGTTTAGGAGACATTAAGGCTGATTTTAAGTGTTGAAATGCAGTTTCACAAGCGTTGCCCCATAAGAGTTCGACATTTTTTCGACTCAGTATATTTAAAGGTGCTGCCAGCGACGCAAAGTTAGGTATGAAGCGTCTATAATAATTTGCAAATGCAACGAATCGACGAACAGCGTCGTTATCTGAAGGTTTTGTATACTTTTTTATTGCATTAGTTTTTGAATCGTCTGGCAGCAGTCCCTTTTCTGAGCACTTGTGCCCTAAAAATTTTACCTCAGAACGAAGAAAATTGGATTTTGTTAGGTTTAGCTTGAGATTAAATTTGCTACATGTTTCGAACACTTTAGCCAGATTTTTTAGATGGTGATTCTCACTACAACCTATAATTATGACGTCATCAACGTACAAAAAAGCTTGATTTGGAGAAATGCCCGAAAAGGCTATTGACATCATTCGAGAAAAAGAATTCGGTGCTACATTTAAACCGAATGGTAAAACTTTCCAGCGAAAAACTCCCTTGTCAGTGCTGAAAGATGTTATAGCTCGCGGGTTTTTATGCGATGGAATTTGATGGAAACCAGAAAACAGATCTAAAGTCGAAATGTGTTTTGCTTGACCAAGGTTGTCTAATATGTCGTCCACACGTGCTAGTGGAAATTTGTCAGCGATAAGCTTTTTATTAACCGCCCTAAAGTCGACGCACATGCGGTACGATTTTTGGCCGGATGGATCTTTTTTTGGTACTAAAATTAATGGACTGTTATAATTAGGGAGCTTGGTTCGATTAAGTCATTTCGCAGTAAAGTATCGACTTGTCTATTTATTTCTTCCCGTTGTGAGTTTTTGATATAAACGGGAGTCTTGTCATTCAGTCGAAGTTTCTGTTCGTAAAAATTGTTGAGTGTCATACGGTCTGTTTTTAAGGCAAATACATCGGCGTATTGTAGGCATAATTCGAACAATGTGTTTTTAGCATATTTTGGCATTTGTTTTTGTAAAATTGACTTTAGTTCCTCTAAACGTTTTGTGTCTTTGGAAGTTTAGTTTGTTTTGTAGACATTATAGTTACTGATATCCTCAGCTTTGATGTTATAGTTTCGAACGTGTTTTACCTCGTCCGTAGTATTTATTACTTTTAAAATTGGATTTTTAGTGTCAGCGACGCATTTTGCGGTGAAAACACCAGAACAAAGCTCGTGAGGGTCTACGAAAACAGGGGTTTTGGAATTAGTCAATTTAAATAAACGAAAAACTTCACATCTTGGAAGAATTACTAAAGTGTCGGTATTTGAACCGTGCAAAATTGCTATTTTAGTGCTTTCTGTCCCAATGCCGATAGTTATACTGTCATTTGCGTAGTTAATAATACATCTGTTCCTTTTTAAAAAGTCCTTGCCTAGTATGCCGTCAGAAGGTACATTAAAACTGTCATCTACAACGTTAAGAGTATCCGGAATAAAAAAATTTTATACAACCAAGTTTGTACTTACAGTTCCCAATGTTGTAAACGTTTCAGTTGTTACACCACTGATGTTTATGGTGTTGCTACTTTTAATTGCGGAATTTCTTGCTAAACTGGAAATCTTGATTAAGGAGATATCTGCTTGTGAATATACGAGAAACGAGCATAATTTGTAAGAATCTGTACAATTTAGTTCGATAAAGTCAGAATAGTTAAGGTTCAGGCAGTGAATTGATTTTTCAGGGGTAACTACGTTTAATTGCTTAGCTCCTGCTCCCCCAGTGTTCGCTCCTGAGGGGAATCGGCGTTTAAAAATCGAACATTAGAAGTATTTCTAGAATTTGAACGAGAAGAGTTGTTCCTGTTGCTTGCTGAACGATTGCTAGTGCCATTTCTGTAGCTATTTTGTTTATTGTTAAAATTGTTACTTCTATTGTAATTATTTTGACTACTGTGCCTTGTGTTATTGCCATTATTGTGCCTATTTGTATTGCCGTTATTAAATCTGAAACTATTTTTGTGATAGCCATAGTTGTTGTGCCCTCTAAATCCTCCTCGAAAACTATTTGGTCTATTTGCCCGTGACCTAAAAGATAACACCTGCCGCTCTTTGACTTCATTATTGTGTTCTACAATCATTTTCGCGACTACATCTTTTGAATCTGTAAATGTGGTCGATGCTAAAATAGAGTTTGCTAGCTCTGAACGACTGTTCAGCCTGCAAACGTTTACTGTCTGCTCTACCGCTAACTCATGGGCTTTCGCTTGAGTCATACCCTCAATAATTAAAGATCGCTCTAATGTGTGTTGGTGTTGGTTGATTTTTCTGACAGGGTGGTAAGATGATTTATTTTGGAACGAATTTCCGTTTGGTTTGCAGACAAACCGGTTTTGGCGTTGTGCTATCTTCAGTGTCATTTTTCGTTCTGTCTGGTTCGAGATTTGTCCCTAATTTATGTTCATTTATCTTAGGTAATGTGATTTTCGTCGATGATTAATTACTAGATATGCCATGGTGCCCATTCTTTTGAAGCAGGTAATAGGTTCATCTTCGCTGTTTCGGTATTAACATCCATTATGTTGTCGCTCTAATGCATCAGATAATTCCTCTACTCGCTTCGCAAAATCGGCATAGTTGTTATTAGTAATATGTAATGACGCGATTTTGCCAGAGACAACTTTGGAATTATCTGGTTTGATTCTGCTGCGTAGCGCAACCTTTATTTGATCCACTGAAATTATTTGACTGGGTAAAACCTCACGCNTAGGCTTGCCATATTTGTCTCGAAGAAATGCCTGACGTTAGTTAAATTTTAATTAAAAAAAGTTTAAGTATGTGTGTTTATTTAAATTTAAAAATAACAGATTACATCGTATGTATATATAAGTTATTTTGTCACATTAGAAAATATAACAATCCATTTATTAAAACAAAAAAAAACGAAAAAAGAAAAGAATGGAAGAAAACGTATTTATATCAAACTTATTTCTTTATTGGGCTAATCGTACTTCTCAGCTGAAAGACCTTTTTTTAGTAACTGCATGTTCGATTTTATTTGATCATAAAATGCTGAACAGTCTTCGCTACTGTTTATTTGAATATTTAGTAACTCAGCAATAACTGAAATGCGCAATCGACCTCTTTCTTGCGACCATTGATGCTTCACTAGCGAAAAAGTTCGTTCAACTGCGGCAGATGTTCCTGGGCTGCACAAAGTAAACTCCACTATTTTCATTACATTAGTAACATTTGCATTCGTCAGTTCAGCTATATCTGCGACTCGGAGCCATCTGTCTACACATGATATCGCTTCCCATTTTTCTGTGTCTTTCTCAGAACTTATAATCTTATTCACTAGTGCGACTTCATCAAAAATCGCATCACTGTCAAACTCGTGAGCATTTTCGGGAGTATGTTTAATTAATGCTGCAATACTAGTTTCAATGTCTTCCCATTTAATTTCTTTATCAATTTTTACCCAAATAAATTTTGATACTACTTCAAAGTTACTCTGCCAAGTTGTTAAATAACTTATTGCTTTGTCATAGAATAACAATACCTTTTCTTTAAAAACATCTCCTTCAGAGTTGGGAAACTCGCGTCGAAATTTTAACCATCTTTGCTTTGCAGCAAACGGAATATAATTTTCCTGTCTTCGATTTTTAAGTTTTTGTAGCAAATCAGTGTAAATGCAAGAAATTTCAGTTGCACTTATTTTATCTGCTTCAATACCTAAAATAGCGTTCTGAAATAGCGAGAGACTTCCATGCAAAAATAGGGTATATATTTCGTTCATAAGATCACGAAAATATGATTTAATAACATTCGGGCAATTACTTATTACGTTAAAATAAATTTTAAGCGCATCGTACAATTGCAAAATTCGCCCTATTGCCGGTTGCAAACTTAAAAAGCGAGTGTTCCCATGAGACAATATCTTTTTGTATTCAATTTCAGCCTCTTCGCATATGGTTTTCAAAGTCGTGTTTCTAACAGTGTAGATATACAAAAATTTGTAGATTTTTACAGTTATCAATTCGAGGTCTACTGGTAAAGTGTCAGCTGCAATCTGAACAGTATTGTGTATTATGTGCGCAGAGCATCCAACCCCAACGATATTCCGACCAAGTTCACTTTCCAATTTCCGGTAAACATTTTTTTGCCCTTGTCTAGCTACACCACCAAAATTGGTGTTGGTATTATCAGCAGATAAAGCTACCACTTTTTTACTAAGATCATATTTCCGTAGAGCCTTTAAAACGTGATCTGTTAAAATATTCGACGTTTCTCCAGGTATCTCATCCAAATGAAGAAGTTTGATTCTAACACCGTATCTGAAGCTAAAGTATCTAACGAGGATCGGCAACAACTTTACATCTTTTCTGTTAGAAGTGTCTATAATAACGGTTAAAAAATTTGCCAACTTAAGCTCCTTTAGAACTTCGGAAAATATATGGGGGCCAACAACTTTAACAGCCAGTGCTTCCAATTTAGTTTTACCTCCACTGAATTTTTTATCATACAACTTTTTAATTAATTTGGAGGTGCAATCAGATGCATTAAAACTTAAATGGTGTTTTACACAATGATATGCAAACGTAATTTCCTTAGCTGTACATTGCAGTTCATCAAACGTCGCTTCTCGCTTTTTAAAGAAGTCCGAAATGGTGGAATCTTGCGTACATTTTGTGGCGCTTTTGTGCTTAGGGACACGATATCGAGCCGAAAGTATCGATATGGTACTCATTTAAAGTGGAAAAATATCGGGTACCCATTAATATCGGAATAAAAAGACTCGATATCGCAAATATCGATACCAAAATCCAAAAAAAAGAAATATCTGAAAAAGTGATTAGAAACCTCCGAGCGTATTTCTGCCATGAAAAACAGCTTCTCATAAAAACGCCCTTTGTGGCACAACATAAAGGCGCACGCAACAAATCGGAGGAGAAGCTCGGCCAAACGCTAACATATTTTGTAAGCGCCAATCTATTATTTTTACACGTAGAGATTGAGGTGTTGACTTAAAACACCGAGACCGCGTGTTCAAATCCCGCCACATGCAATCCTAACGATAGTAAAAAATTTCTGTTCTTTAAAGCCCAATTTATATCGGGAAGAGTTGATAAGTCTTGAAAGCAATTTTTTCGCATTCTCTTTTGTGTTTTCTATTTGCTTCCAGACGCGTCAAATTTTATTGAATTCAAGTTCGTGGTTCTTTGAATTGGAGGTATCTGCACTCTTCCCCTTTCTTCTCACCTCCTTCGCCTTAGAACGAGCAGACTTGAAAGCAAGACTTGACGTGCCTGAAACCTGACTAATTTGAGTTTATGACATTCGATACGATACTAGGATTCTGGTACTCGATTCCAAAAAATATCGTTTTAAAACTATCGAGTAAAAAATATCGGTATCGAATGCCAAAAGTATCGATATGGTATCGTATCGTATCGAAATTCGTGCCCCTATTTGTGCTTTTCTGATTGCAAATGCCTCTCGATGTCGGCTTTTCCTCTGTGTTCGATAGAAAAAACAGCTTTGCAAATTGTGCACACTACTTTTGAACTGTTTTCGCATTTTATGAAATCCTATTATATTTTCAGTTTCTCCGTCAAAACACACCTTCTTTTGGACATGGTTATTCAAATCAATCTAAAATGTAAAACTATTTTGTATTAATGCATTAACGTGTATCTAGTTTATAGCTAGAATTTAGAATAAATATATGTAAAAGCATACCAAATATCTCAATCCGCAAATTTTATAAACACTTCCCGTATTTACTTACGACCAGCTGATTGCATGAGTGATGACACTGAAGTAGAGATAATGAGTAATTATCAATCATCGATCAAAACTAGTGGTGGTGGTGAACTGCGTATGAGGATTTGTTACGCAAACGATAAAAAGTGCTCGGTAGAAATGTGTTTGTTGACAAAATTAAAGTTCGTTTGAAAATGCCTGACAAAATACGATGCCTGAAAAAATGCCTGACAAGGTATTGAATTCCTGACAATCAGGCCTAATTCCTGACGTGTGGCAAGCCTATACGTAGCGCAACTTTTATTTGATCAACCGAAATTATTTGACTGGGTAAAACCTCACGCGCTTTGCCGTCGAGTTTTGACTTTAAAAATGCTATAAATGTTGTAGTTAAACTTTCATCCGATAATTCTTCTATTAAATTTATTTTGTCAATGAATGAGTCGAGCGATAGGGGGTCACCACTATAGTTTTCTCGGATTATAGACGCACATAAGCTATTAAAAGATTTCTTTTGCTCAGGTGTTGCCATTTTTATGTCGTTTGTATATTCAGTAAAATTTATATTCGGTGAACTAATCGTTACGCAAGGCGTTTCTTCAATTTGTAAAAAATCTTTAAATGAAGGCAAAGAACAACTTTTTTTAACGGTGGAAACTTCTGGTGTGCCAGCTGAACAAGCGTCAGCAAAGTCGTCGTCGGAATTTACTTCGGAATTTAAAATATCTTCTTTTATAAGAATTGAAAAATCCTAGGGTACTTCAACTTTACACCCAATTTTTTGAAAACANAATGGAGGCAAAGAACAACTTTTTTTAACGGTGGAAACTTCTGGTGTGCCAGCTGAACAAGCGTCAGCAAAGTCGTCGTCGGAATTTACTTCGGAATTTAAAATATCTTCTTTTATAAGAATTGAAAAATCCTAGGGTACTTCAACTTTACACCCAATTTTTTGAAAACACTGAAGTAGCTTTTCTCTGTACCGCGGTAAACTTTTAATTACTAAATCTGGCTTGTTTCCTTGTTGATCGGATTTTGTTAATTCAATTAAAATATTGTTGTAAGTTTCTATCAAAGATTTTTTATATTCGTCAACTTTTTCCCGATTTGTTGAAAGTGGACGGCTTTGAAGAACACGCTTGGTAACTTTTGAAAATTTTGCTTGTAAATCCTTGAATACAAGTTCCACATCTGACATCTGGCACACAAGCAAAGCAAAAGATCTATGAAAAACTACCGAACGGCTGTATTATTGAAAAATAATAATTGTTTGAATAAAATTTTAAAATTTGAAGGTTAGCTAACACTGCATTGAAAACTGAGGAAAACGTTTATTGATAATAATAATCGCTGAAATATTTTACCATATTCAACCGAAGCTCTAAAAGTTTTNAGAATTAAAATATCGTTGTAAGTTTCGACTAAAGATTTCTTATATTCGTCAACTTTTTCCCGATTTGTTGAAAGTGGACNTAAAGCAAAAGATCTATATAAACTATCGAACTATTGT